AAACCTGTTGGACGAGGGGGTCAGAGATCGTGACTGGAATCACAAGTTCACCCACAAGGAACATGCTGACAACAAGCGGGGTGCAGCCGAAAGCCCTGTAGTGCCTGGAGCTCTGGTTTTACTGAAGAACACGAAAACTTCTGGCAAGGTAGACGCAAATTTCGAGAGTGAGCCTATGCACAGTGCAGACTAAGGAAGGCAGTGAGGTGACTGTTAGGTCAAAGGAGGGTGTGGAATACAGGCGGAACAGTTCATTTGTTAAGCGGTACAACCCACCAGGGGAATCCCCGGAAGCCACAGAGGCCGCTTCTCAAGAAGTACCCAATACTCTTCCACTGGAGGAGAGTATAGGAACATCAAGACCAAGGCGGACTGTCAGAATGCCGGAGAAGTACAAGGACTATGTACTTTATGAACTGAACTCTGTTGACACGTTGGACTTATGTTGAAGTCTGTTAGATTTGGTTTCATGTTATTAGATTTTATTGAACAGTCTTATTGGGATAATTCAATACGAGCAGAACAGTTTCATACAGATTTATTTTTTCGCTGTTAAGTGCCTTATTGACTTTTTCTCGTAGTCTGTTTGTTTCTGAAGAAAGGAAGGGATGTAATGTATCGATAGTATTGTCTACCGGAAGTTGTGTTAGCGGAAGTTCTCGGATACTGTAAACGTGCAAAGGATCATGGATATTTGTGTGGGCCATGCTTTCCGGGTGACATGGCGGCCGAATAAAGTGCAGTTCCTTTTATAGTGAAATCTGGTTTATTACACGGCCATCCGGGCGTCATTGTTACATACATGTTCTTTTCAAGGTTTTAATTTCTATAGATGAGTTGAAGCGTCGTAGCTGAAATGACATCTTGTCTACATTTCACGCTTGGTCCGGCCCAGGTTTATAATATTTCAGATCATTGTATAATGGCGATGTAGGATTGTATAACGAGCGATTGTCAGAGATTTTTGACTCAGTCAAGGATGTGTTTGTATAATGGTTTCATCAGCTTTTGTCAGCGCTGGTTGAACTGAAATAAATCGCGAGTCTGAACGCGATATCACATTTTATTTTACTTTCGCTGTTTGGCCAACATCAAAACAAAAGGCGTTGGGTCACGAAAATCGTTTGGCCGCTGCGGTTCACAGACAGCGACCAGAAATAAGTCTGTGTCCGCAGGCTAGTTAAACTTATCGGGTTTTTTTCTATTTTTTGTCACTGATCAGTCTTTGCACTAGCATAAGTATTTATCTTACTGCTTACTACAGCTCTCCCGAGTAAAGGCTGATCCTGACATTTACCTTGACCGACAAATCCCCAAAAATATATGCCAAAAATGTTCGCTCCAGACGTCTGATCTGACAGTTGGCGGATGCAATAGTCTATTTCTCTCTGTTTTCTTTCCTATAACAGACCAACATTTTATCAGCTGAGCACATAATTTAAAGAAAAGGTTTTTTTCTTATGTAGTTTATCCTTTAGATGTCGGATTTTCGCAATTAAAGGCACTTATTATTTACAAACAGCAGACATATTTGCATATTATTTTTCTGACAGGAAACCCAGATTGTATTCACTTGTCTTCGATCTTATTTGTTTTAGATTCCTAAAAATGACATTGCTATCCAACTAAAACTTTCATATTTAGTCTAGAATTGACTTCTCTGTCACTGCAGAGTATCGGTGACATTTTATAGGAAGTAGGGTTGTTGAAAGATGCGCATATGAAATCACTAAGATAAATCATTCTTCTTCAACTTTAATTCCCTGTTATCCTAGGTGCGATGTTTATACAGAATACTCTTACACAAACCATTACTCTATCTTTTACCTGACTTCACTTTGAAATCGTGAAATTTGTTATCCGATCGATGCGACGTGCCCTTGCCTATTATTCCCGATCTGTGTGTGGAAATTAAATAAAAACGATGATAAATATGCATACTTAACATACAGTTTTTAACCAGCTTTAAAAAGTAACGCCACACTGTATTACCGGTGCTTCAAATGCGCTAAGGTAGCATAACAAAATATTACTCACCACGTTTCACGGCAACTCGTTTTACACAACCGGAACACTTCATGATCAATATCTGCCTTGCCCAGCGGATTCCAATAAATTTTAACAAGAATCATGTGTCACGCTCGCACATATGACACACAATGGAGGTGTCGAGGGTCGATTTTTTATGTAGAGGGTTCATTCTTTTACGTTTATTTTTTTTGGCGTTTTTAGCTGGCAAGGAGCCCCAGACTTGCAAATGTTCTGTTTTTATTAGCGCTGACCCAGAGTGCTGACAGACGCATTGTAACGAAGGTGTACGTTTTCCTTATTCCCTATTGTTGAAACGATGAACAGTGAAAACAATGAAATCACTCCGTGTAATTAGGAAAACTGACTGCTGCACTGGATAGAAGCCCAGCGTAATACGAACATCAGTCCCCGTTTATTCATACAAATACAAACACTTAGGTACTGCAAAGGCAGTGAAGTAGAAAAAATGTAACAAGTTCCGAGGAAAGTTCTTTGATCAATAATAAAGATGATAATCGTGTCGGCTGCCCTTCAGGAAAAACCCTCTTCACTAAGAAGGAAACCTGAACCCTCCCGAAAGCAGAGCCAGACACTTAACATGAACCTCGAGGGAGAGAGGTTGAACTAGAATACAAAATTATGAGTACATCAACGACCAACGACAATCAATTCAAATGACACAAAAAGAAAAAAGCATTGACAAACGAAACTCAGGCAGCGATGATCCCGTCTATTTATACTTGAGTCTCCGTGACAGCTGTCAATAAGCTGGAACAGTGAAAACGAGTAATCATTTATTAATGATCGTTAATTAACTAGTTACGGAGGTGTCAAATGTCTTATATAAACGAGCGCACATTCTTAACCGGTCATCTTTTGTTAGATCCGGAGGCGAAACAATTGTCAAGCTAAGCTTTTGCTTGGTTCAATAAACTTATTTTGCCCAAACTCTCGTGTCGTCTTGGTAACGTGGGTTGATTAATAATTTGCTGCTATTCTTAGAACCGCAGCAAATAACAAGTTTTCCCTATTCCCTGTTGTTGAAACGGTAAAAAGTGAAAACAATGAAATCATTCCGTGTAAAATAGGAAAACTGACTGCTGCACTGGATAGAAATACACAAGACGGGAGTGAAAATGGAACTAAAATCAAATTCCTAGAGATTTGGTAACTAGTAATCGATTATCAAGAGAATTCATGTTCTACATACACTGTAACCATCCTCGGCGGTCTCTGAACGCCTTCTACTGTGGCGTTTCCAGAATCTATCTAAGACTTGTGCGTTGGCTGCTGTAGTAGCTCCGCCTGATCACAATGAATGCAGGGTTATGTTGGCCGTGTTGGGCACAAATTCGCGCAACAGCTTAACTAGGGATCCCTTGCGAGGGTATAACTGAGAGGCACGGGGGGGGGCACTGCCATATATGGGCTATATAGGTATGTGCCGCTGTGAAGGGTATGGTTTTCAAGCAGTTTACTCTAGGATAGGGTATATAAATCAGAGCGTTTGGGTCTAGAATAGGGTATTATTTTTCAGGAAACTAATCAGTTGGTTGAAGATTTTATCTAGACTAGGGAAACAGCTACTCTAGGATAGGGGGATTTGGGAGTTAACTCTAGTGTAGGGTAGCAAAATTCAGCTGAACTAGCTCTGGTATAGGTTAAGGGTTCCAGGGTCCCAGCGGCACATCCCCACCCAGAAATTCCTAAAGTACCCCCCCCGGGCTGAGAGGTTTTACTTTGTCTATAACTTTATATCTGGATCTAACTTTGACTATAGGTTTGAACAGAAAATCTGAAACCTTTGATGTACTTCAGCTCGAAGATATTAGCTTGTTAGCTACTCTAAAATTCGAGTATAAATAAAGTTTATGTTATGTATGTTATGTTACTGACTCCTGTTAATTTCATGTACCTTTCTAGATTTAACACAGGACAGGTAACCTTGCCGCATCTTCTGATCACCACTTCTTTCCGCTTACGATATTGATCAGCCTTACTCTGGGACACTTTGATGGTTAAATGAGTGTCGATTATGCTAATGTCACCGATAGTAAGGGCTGCTAGTTCACTGAAACGGAAGAACCCCGCAAATAACAGTAAGGCCAAAGAAATGTCCCTACGTATTATTGGGTTGCACGTGACCTCACCAAAAATCAAACTAAGAAACTATCGATTCTTCTGAGTTTCTACTTTCACGAGGTATTACAGTACCTAAACATCTTTACATAAACAAATTTTTGAGGACGCTTGAATTTCCAGGCTTTTGCGTGACGCGGCATTTAGCTGGCGGGCGGGAAAGCTCTTATGAGGGTTTAAAACATTACCGATTTTCCTTGTCTCAGAATAAATATTACTGTAATCTTATGAGTTCCTCAAGCGAAGAATTCACGCATTAGTAGGAAAACTCGAAAACAGCCATATTGGTGTTCCTGAAAGGGACACCAACATGGAGTTTCCATAAACCGTTTTTCCCAATATCTCGCGTTTGAAATATTTCACAGACCTGATTCTTAGCAAGGGTTTTTGTATATTTATCTTTTTCCATTTCCCAGATTCTAGTCCTTTTTTATTAAATGGTTTGCATTTTTATTTTTCATTGCGTGACAGTGAAAGCCGAGAATAGGCAATTCATCGGAATGCTCATATTTAATACAACACGCTGTGAAGGCCTCCTTTAAAATGGGAGATTTTTTCGAAGTGGGTTTGGCATTTTGACGCTTGGCCCCTTCCACCATATTTTTGACAAAGGTGCTACTCATAGGATTGGGAACCCCCGCAAAATCACGAGCCCATTTTAAAGAGCGATAACTAGATTCAATCACAGAGGCTGATACCTGAGAGAGGGCCAAGTGGCTAAAATAAAGAGCCGCACCAACCACGGAGACAGGGAACACAACTAACTTGTTAGTATTAGCAAACTTAACCCAACGATTTAAAGAACTTGCATAATTAACTACTGCACTTCC